TATGACACATGTAGAGGGGCGGAGTGAACGAGTGTGTGTTTTGGGGGGTGTATTTATTCCACCTTTGCCTTTGCCGCCTGCTGTTTACTTCAAGTGGTAAGTATTTTCTTGGCCCTGGGCCCTCTTATTCCCAATTTAGATTCAAATCAAGCCAAAAGCTGGGGCAGGGAGGGGTTGGCGCAGATGTTTACCCAAAAAATTCACTTCATTTAGTTTGTGACAGGATAAATAAGACCATACAAGCGATCTCTTTGAAGTAGAAGGAGCAGAATGTGTGTGTCATAATTAACTATAGCATTTTTTTTCTTTGTGGGGAGTAAATTCGTATCTGCTGAACGGCAATTTGCCTCAAAAATAAATCAAGGGAATTTACGACATTCTTCTGTCCCGAAACTCACTCCCCTAATTGGTCGCCAGCATTTGATTTCACATTCTCGTTGCCTTTTGTTCGATTTTATTATGGCAATTGGATTTTCACAGTTGGTTCGTTTGAGGAATTTTCCTCTTTGCTTGCCATTTCTTTTTTTGTGTGCCACACATTTATTTACCGGGAAAATGCTTTTGATTCTGGATAATTGAAAAGAAGGGGGAGGCAATACTTAGCTTAGATTTCTGAGGGAATAAACTTGGTCAACTCTGGAATTTGCACAGAAATGTGGCTTAAAAATGTCACAGTTGTGTAGGACTTTAAGAAGAAATCCCCTGTTGAAATAACTTGACCAAAATTGATAAACCAAAACTAGGTAAATCCCTTCTGCAAATCTCTACTAATCCCCGACCGAATTACCCAATTTAGATCGAATCAAAATAGTCCAAACTATTAACTTGAATCATTTTCCTTCTGCTCCACTGATTTTTCCGATTTTCTACGCAATCCTTTCAGCTGGAATCAATTGCTACTTCCTTCTTGCACATCGATCTATCTGATTTGCAAACTCTTTATGTCCTGGACACTGCTCCTGCTGACCCAGACAGTTGCAATTATGTTTCCCCCTCGAAGCTGGTCAGTGTCCAAGGGACTGACGCTTGGGAAATATTTTTTCTACTAGAAAAATGGATAAAAAGTTCAGTTTGAGCTACGGAATTTATTCGCATTTGAACTGTTTGCTGTTTGTTTGGCTTGCCCTGGGCTTGGATTTGGTTTCCGAGTTCTACTAGTTCGAGTCCTGGAAGCACTTTAAGTGTGTGCATAAATATTTTTCCCCCCAGGGAGGATGAGGATGAGGACTGAGTTATGTGGCGGAAGTGTGTCCCACTTCATAGTCAGTCCAGGAACTGGGGGAAACACCACTCAACGCCACACCACTTGCTAACCAATTGTCACTGCCACTAAGGGTTTCCCGACCCCCCCCAGTCACGTTTCCTTTGCTCAACTAAAAATGCGGTTGTCCTGCAGAGAGAGAAAATGTTTTCAGGGATTTTAAAAACACAAACAAAAAGGCTATAGACATGCCAAAGGGCAGAGTATGTTTTACAGCCTTCAGGAATAAAAAGAAAATGTATGGAAAATGTATTTTTAAAATGATTTTGCTTCAGTGCTGGGACAGGGACAGTAACAGGAACACGGGACCTGTCATGTTCAACGCATCCCCGGGCTGACAAAGAGTCCAAAGAGCAATGACAGAGGGCGACATCGTTTTTGGAGGGCCAAGTGGTGGGTGGTGGCACATGGAGCACATATGAAGCTGCCAGGAGGTGGACAATGCCGCGACCTGGCCAAAAAACCGTGCTCAACCTTTTGACATATGCGAGCGGCATATGGCCATGGGTGTTTGCCTCTGATGTCATGGCTTCCTGCTCTTGATCCTGTTCCTGTTCCTGCTCCTGCTCCCTGCTCCTGCTCCCCATGCCAGTTGCAGGCAAAGACAACGAACAGAGTAGGCTTTTGTTGCCGTGGCCACTCTCCACTCTCCACTTAGTTAGTGCAGCTTTTAATTGAATTTGGAAATTTGGAAGAGCTCGAACCGAGCCAGAGCCAAAGCAATCTGGCCAATTCATTCTGCGAATTCGGTTATGACCCCGGGCCACCTACTGGGTTCACCTTCCCAGGCAATTAGTGGTGGCCCTTCAGTTGCTCAAACTCTAATGGAATTAGTTGTTAATTCGATTTTCCATAAAAGCAGGACCTGGTCCCGCAGGACGTGTGCCTTTGTTGGAAGTGTAGTATTCCATGGGATGGAGGCACCTATCCGTATCAGTGTTGTCCAAAATATAAAGCAAATACTAACAATCTCTTAGCATTTTTAAAAGTTAAGTAAGGAAACTATTGCTGAATGATGTCAGTTTGAAATGTATTCAACAATATAATCGGAATTTAAATATTTTACACTGAAAACTAACTTAGTTTTATGAGTAATTTACTAAGATTATTGAAGGGAACTCTTCAATTATTGAATGAATATTTTTTTAGATAGATAGAAGCTCCTTTTATTTGAATAGAATGATAACCTATGTTGCCACGAGCAAATGTTATTCCTCATCAAGTGTTCCTAGATTTAGCCAGCTCTCTTACTTGTTTTATTGTTTAAATTGTACCTCCACTTAATTGACAATTGTTTAGTAAATAAATAGAAACCCATTTTGCCATCACTGTCGAGTTAAAAGCCAAAGGCGTGGCCAGAAAGTCGCGTGCCAGCGCAGCCAGACATTTTAGTTTAATTGGCCTGAGGGCCAAAAGGGGGGAAAAAGTGCAGGCCCACACACATTGGGGAAAAGCATTGGGAAAAACATTGGAAAAATCAGTGATTTGAAATCAGAATGCCGCACTGCAGCTACATTTGTTTTTCTAGTGGCTTTCGTTCGTGTTTGGCTCTTGTGGTCAATGGGGATGGCTCCCACTCTGCTTCTCTCTGAGTCCTGTCCTGACCTGTCATGTCCTGTGTCCTGATTAGGCCCCAGGATCTGGAATCTCTGGGGAATCGCTGAGTGCGGAGGGCGATTCGTATCGCTAATGATTGCCCACCATGACCGCGCTTGTCTTTGCTTTGTCCAGTTTGTTCCAATTTTTCCCTATTTTTTGCTTATTTTCGCTGATTGCAACTGAACAGCAATTTAATTTTATCTGATTCAGTCATTCCCAGCGGTCATAACGCCAATGTAATCTGTTTTTTGCTCTATTAAGACAAATGTTTAGATAGAGCTGGCCATACAATTTTTGCGGTAAATTGTGTTGGCTTTTTTTATTGATGTACAAAATTGCATTTAAGGAGGAGGGTTCAATGAACGGGGAATGAATCAAAGGAGTTACTTATATATTAGGAAAAGGAAATTTAATTATGGGGAAACTTGCTTTGACAATGAGTGTATTGATTTTTAATTTTTTAGTATTTATTGTTTGATTTTAATCAGATTACTGGGTGCAAATAAATGTTATTTTATTGACTGAAATTAAGTTAATAAAGGTAAACCACCTGAAGAGCTTTTTGAAAAATAAATTCCACGTTTAACAATTGCATTCTTGTGGTTAATTATTGTCTTGATTATGGGTATGGCACTACAAATAAAGAACAATAAAGGAAACTGGTTGGGTAGCGTAAATTTCTTTATCTTTTTAGTTACATTATCTTTTTAGTTACTTTATTTATCGATATTTTTATTTGACCATATTTTCGACAATATCAAAGTTTAAAAAACTCATAACTAAGTCAAAAATGCATTAATTTAAATTCGGAAAGCTTTCCTATGTAAGTTTTGATTATGTTAATAAATCTACATACTTATTTTGCAAAGTTAAAAAAATCAATTTTTTGTCTTTATTTTTGACAATTTTAACCCCTTAAAAAATGTTGAAAAAATTTTAAAAATTTGTTTTCTACAAACCATGGCTAGATCGATTCCCCTATTGATGCTGATCAAGAATATATATGATTTATAGGGTCGGAAATGATTTCTTCACTTAGTTTTAGGGTTCTGACTGAAATTATGATAACCTTGCAAGGATATTATTGTATAATAAAATATAACATAACAAACCTAAATATAAACATTCATAATTATAAATAAAAACAATAATTAAAGAATAAAATAGCAAACGATTTAAGTGAAATGCCAACAGGATCAATTATGTATGCTGTTTGCTAGATACTTTTGGTAAGGAAACTTGTTCACAGTCCGAGTTTTATAATTTTTATATATTATCCTGTATCATTTGTACTTATATAAATTATTCTTGTAATACTGACAAATGTCGTTCAGTTTAAGACCCATCAACCTCTTGAAAATGTACAACTTTAACACGATTGTTATCTGCCTTTTTATTGGCTTTCTTCTTGGCGGCTTCTTCTTTTTTGTTCATCCTCCTTCTGGCTGGCTTTCCCCAAAGACTTTCTTTGAAATTTATTTTTCCATTTAAAGGCTTCCCTTTGTCCCCAAGGAGTTTTTACAGCTCGCTTATCGAGGACATTTACCCCGTCCCGCTCTCTGTGTGTGACTTCTGATTAAATGTTATTTTATTTTATACGTTCTTGCATTGCCTGGCTGCTGCTGCTGCAGTTTGGAATCCATTTATCTTTTGTTACACTGCCCCGAATTGATTGTTATTTGGAAATTTCCCAGCGAGCCCTCTTTATGGCACCCCAAAGGATTCGCTCTCGAATAAACCATTTTGCAGAAATAAATAAAAGAAAAGGAGAAGGGAAGCTGACTTCGTCGCATTGAATATTTAATGTTGGGTCCGTGCATGGGCCTTCATGGCGTATGAGTGATTTTTGCTGTTTGGTTTTTTACGAAGGAAATGGTTTTTTTTCTGGGAGATTATTCGGGAGCCACAAAAATACAAATAAAATAGAGAGAGAGAGAGAGTCAGAGAAGTGGTATTAAAGTAAACAAATCGAACAGGAAACAGGAAACGTGAAAAGTGCCAAGGCGCACGACACTTGCCACAACTCCTTTTCCTAGTTTTCCTTATTCTCAGGGAGGATGGTTGGAGTTTGGCGGTTAAATATGATATCTATTTGGGTCACGACACTGCAATCAAGTAATTTAATTAATCAAAAACAAACCTTTCTGTCAGCTGACGCCTCCGAGGAACTATGTCCTGCCGCAGGTAACTAATGAGCAGCGTCCTCGTTTCGTTTCCTTTCCTTCTTTTTTTATTTATGTATTTTTTGTTGGACATCCAGGAAAGTGTGTTATGTATTTGATCGATAATTTTGTATAAATAAAAGGAAAACCCCTCAGCGGCGGCACAAGATAATACTTTATTTTATTTTTCTAGCACTTGTTCACTTTTCTTTTGGTTTTCCGTCGCATTCCCCGATTATTTTTAGCAAAAACAGAACACGGAATATATTTTTTATGATTTCAGATAATTTTCCACCAACCGCGTATACATATAGTTGCCTCTCTCTCTATATATATATTTATTTATGTACATACTCGAATTATTTGATGTTGTATTATTTCTTTGTGTGGGAATTTCCAAACGCGGTTTTCCCCAAAAACAGTTTCGAAAATAAAAACGAACGAAATGTTGAGAGAGAAAGCGCTTTGGCGTTTTTCCCAACCGCTTTTCCACACATCCGATCCGTGCGAGCGCCGTCGAGTGTTTGAAGCGGTTTTTGCTTTAACATTCCGGTTCGGGTTCGGGTTTTTCCTTCGGCGCTTTCATTTGTGACGTCACAGAAAAGCTGCCAACGTCATGGAGAGCTTTTCCTCGCTTTTCCTCGCTTTTCCCCGCTTTGCCCCGCTTTGCCCCGCTTTTGGGCTTGTTTGTATTTTTCCTTTGCATGTTCACTTTGTTTATCTTTTAGCTGTCCCCGCTGACTTTGTTCTCGGTTTGTGTGTTTTCATCAATGGAGCAGAAGGACCAAGGAAAGCCACCAGGATTGCAACGTTTACATCTATTTTTTGTCTCTTTTTGTCTATTTTCTTTTATTTTTTCTCAATATTTTTGTTGTGTAAAAGTTGCTGCCTTTGTTTTGGTTCTTTTGGGTGGTGATTCCGATTTCGCTTCTGTATTGGCCTTTGTTTATGGCGCGTGCTTTCCGTTTTTGCTCTTTTATGATCCGAAACGCTGACAGACGGGCAATATTTAGAAATTGTGACGAGCATTATTTGGCATTTTATTAATGTGTCGATATTGTGTCTGAGAGAGACCCATGACTCATCCCACTGTCAATGCATTTTGCAATAAATTCTGATGCTTACACATGAAAAATGGGATCATAAAATATAATTTAAATAGGTTTTTAAAATACAAAAATGAAAATTAAAGTTTAAAATTTACAGAGAACTTAGGGGAAATGAAGCAACTTGAAAGAAAGCCACATTTTATAGCTCTTTAAGTATTAATATTAATAATATTCTTTCCTTTGAAATTGCTTCATAAATTGTATTAAAAATGATCAATTTTCCTCCCAGTGTAACCCACATATTCTCGCCTTTTACGAAGCTCTCATTCCCATTTGAATATTGCTTTTGGCCAGAAACTCTTTTTTGTATTTTCCCTTCACTCGATTTGCAATTAGCCAAAATGCTGGGAAAATGCATTCGCTGAAAATAGCAACAATACAGCGTATGAAACAGGAAGTGGAAGTGAAAGGGGAAGGGGAAACAGGAACAGGACAGGAAGAGCACCTGCTGCAACTGCGAAATGCAATTAATCTTCTGCGAAGGCTGTCAGACGAACCGCAAACAATCTCGGCCAACAAAAACCCCAAACAAATCTCCCATATGGTTTGGCAACAGTCTGAGTTTGAGATATGTATGGTTTTTTTTTCCATTTTATGATGATTGAGTGATTGGGGAAAATCGTACAAGCTACAGACTATATAGGAAGATTAGAAAAAGGTTGAAGAATTAGGTAAATTTATCCATATTCTGTTGTAAAGGTAAATAGCTTTTTGTTTGTCAACCGCTTAATAAAAAAGTGTTTAAAAGTATGTTTCAAATTAGTTTAGTTGCAGAAGTTCTATTATTTGTCTGATTAATTTGTTTGGTAGCTATTTTTTGGAGTCCAACCGGATATATAATAAGTTTTGATACTCGGATCAATCTGAATAGTATTTGTTTCGTATCAATAGAATTTCAGAGTAACCATATTTTTTGTAACTTTTCAACTAACATACTTTAAATTTGAGGTTTTTGAAACGATACCAAGTAGGCATTGAGCCTTTTGTGAGTTTTCCTCTGTAGATACGTGCCCAGAATTATTTAGTTGGTGACTCGACTACGAAGTGAAAACAACGAAGAAATGTGTATTTATTTATTTTATTTTATTCGGGTTTTTTTCAAAAGAGTTGTAAAAATATTGGAATTAAAAGAACATTTTTATTGTATATCTTTCTTATTACAATTATTTTTATTTTTTGTGTATGCTTTTGATTTTAATCCTGCTAAGTTTTCAAAGTTGTGTTTGAAGTGGCCTTTATGATATGCAAATTTGCATGACTTCTTTTTCTGTAGAATTTTTTGTATTACCTATTAGAGCCTATATTTTCAGTTTTTAAGGAGATGTGGTTGTGTCCGGTAAAACGGCTAAGAGTGTATATAGTTTAATTTTTGGGCCATATCTTATCAGTTTGATGTGTTTTTTTTTTTATTGCGGCGCATTATCACAAGGCATGATTTATTTATAGAAGCGGCCAGGTGGTCCACAACCATAAATACACAATATAGACAAAAACAGCTAAACATGGTACTGATCACAGAATACCCTTTTTCGAATAATTTTATTTTATGTAATAATTTGTTTTATTTTAATAAATTTAACTGATTTTACTGTCACTAGTTTGATAATTATGTTATGTACGACATCTGCAATTGGATGATTACTTATTTAACAAAGTTATTTCAATTTTTTTTTAGATTCTATGTAAAAATTTAAAGAGTCGGTATTATTTTTCCTAACGAGCTGAATTGAACTAAAAATTTTATTTTTATGCAATAATTTTTAGTATTTTTAATTACTTTTACTGATATTTATTATATGTGCGACACCTGCAGTTAGAGGGTTACTTATTTAATAAAGTTATTTCAATCTGTTTTGAAAGATTTAAATTTATTTTAATATTTTTTTTAATTCTATGGCAAGTTTTAAAGTGCCAGTATTATTTTCCCTAACGAGCTGAAATGTGTTGTTAGCCTTTTGAATTATTAAATATCGTAGTTTTTTAGTCTCCTAAAAACCTAATTTTCATTTAAAGAATATACCCATTTTTTTACCCTACCCATATTGGGCATAGAAAAAACCCACACGAACCAATACCTATAGATTGCCTTTGTCCTCTCTCAAGTTCGGAAAGCTGTCAATTGATTTACTTGACCCAAATGGCGGTGGCAAAAACTCATACTGTTTCCCGCCTTTTCACTAATGCGATCAATATTTGACAGATAAAAAGCAGGGCACAGGGAAAATGGTGAAAATTGGGCAAAAGGAAAACATGGGGGGAAAAAACAACAAAAAAAGGGGCGCCAACCGTGGCTTTCGCTTAAAGCTTCAAGTTCCGGCCAATTGTTGCTCCGGGAAGAAAAAGGGGGAAAAACCGCAGGAATGGTGGCCCTCAGGTGTTTGGTCAATTAGAAGGAAATTCATTTGCGCGGATTCCCCGTCTCCCAAAATGAAATTTATGTAAATTTATTTCGAGGAAACTTTTTAATTAACCCACAAACGTTGGATGGCGAATGCCAACTTTTGGCGTTACCGCCGCGTTTTCTGTATCTCGTGCTTTAATCTGTCTAATCTATGCAAATGAAATGCGCACACCTGTCTGCGGCAAGAGTCCGTCCTGAGATGTAAGCAGCGGAAGTTCCTTTTGGCATTTTTGGCCTCTTTGAGACTGTCTGTGTATGTGTTTTTTTGGCCCCCCAAAAACTTACTTAATTGCAGCCCAAGGCTGTGGGTAAGTGTGTAATAGGAGAATGAGTAGAAAGAAAAAATCATGTGGGCTGGATTCACAGGATTCGCCACCGGAAACGCTCAATTTATAGATTATAGTTTTTTTTTGTATCCTTATATATCCCTACAGTTAGCAATTGGATTATGAACCGAAATCCATCCAAAAATGCATTAATTTTAATTCGGAAAACTGCTCTGTGTTAGTTTTTATTAGGTTTATAAGTCTGCATACTCAGTTTAAAACCTTAAATTTTTTTTTTTAATTTTGATAATTTTAACGATGTGGAACCGCTAATATTAAAAAAAAATTGAAAAAATAAATTTTATTTAAAATATAGCTAGAACGATTCGGCTTTTGATGCTGAACAAGAATATATATGATTTATAGGGTCGGAAATGACTCCTTCACTTAGTTTTAAGCTTCTGACTGAAGGTGAATTACCATTTTTTAGTCGATATGAACTATATTTTTATATGCAAATTTTACTAAAAATCAAAATGTAAAAACGTCATAACTAAGCCAAAAATGCATTAATTTCAATTCGGAAAGCGTCCGTATGTTAATTTTTTAACAAATTAATAAAACTGCATACTCATTTAAAAACCTCAAATTTTAGTAAATTTTTGATAATTTTAAAGATGAACCCCCTTATAAACTTTTGGAAAAAATTTGTCTTTTTTTTTTTTTGAAACATGGCTAAATCGAACCGCCTTTTAATTCTGATCAAGAATATATATGGTTTTTGGGGTCAGAAATTACTTTTTGCTTTGCAAGCTTTTAACTAAAATTATAATACCCTGCAAATATGACCATGTATTATTTACCAAAACCAGCATAGGCAGTGTCATAATATCTTAATAAAAGAATATACTCGAGTTTTATGTTTTTTTTTTTTTGTATTTAAGTACTTGAATGTTATTATTTGATGAGGCAACTTATATCCTTCATCACTTCCCCCTTTTTAATACGCACTAACTTTCCATGAATTACTTAATAATTTTCCAACGAAACAAGCTTTTTATGTACATATTTCTTTTTAGTTTTACGCTTCGTACCCCCCTCAGCTTGATCTTTGGTAAACACCATAAAGCTAATGGGAGCAAAGCCTTTCTAGACTGTACATATATTTCCCCATCTATCCCATACCTTTTAACTATGCCCATTGGCAGATCCCGCACTAAGCAAACATCATCGCAGGCGGGGGAATCCCCGACATCTTCCACTCGACGCGTGCGTTGCGTTGCTTTGCGTGGCGCAAAGTGAAAGATAAATGGAGGCTGTAAAAGCAGAGCACTTCGCGGAGAGAAAGGATGGTGGGGCAGAGTGGGAAGCCACTTTATCATAAACTCAACAGGTTCCCGAACCATAGCTCCTTCTTCACGGTCTGTCTGTGAGTGTGAGTATTGTGTGTGTGTTGCCATAAAAAGTTGCTGCGCTGATTGAATAAAAATTTCATTAAACGCACATTTTCTAGCAGCTGTAAGGCCTTTTCCCATCCATCTAACCATCTCTCGCTCCCTGCTCTCAGCCACTGTAAATCCCTTAAAGGAGGATTGGTCTGTGGGGATAGAATGTCCTGCGGCAGCTTTTGGCTCTGCTGCCGTTTATTTTAATTGCCGGCATTAGACGTTCGTTGATAGGCCATAAAAAAGCAGTTGGCTCGCCGGAAGCCGTCAAAGACAAAATGGAAGACGAATTTCCGGGAGAGTTATCGAGGTGGTGAGGTTTGAAGATAGATGTTAGGAATTGTCTATCGGGAGGGAACATTATTTTAAAAATATCGATTAAATTTGGGTGTTTGTTATATTTATAAAAAATATCAGTTTATCAGAAATTTATTATATTAATTTCTACTGTGTTTATTTACATATCATGAAACATTTTAATTCAAAAGGAAAAATAAATAAGTAAAATATGAAATATCTGTTAATATAAGAATTATTTTATACAAGACCCTAAATACTTTACCTTGGCAAAGTTCCTTTTCTGATCAAACATTTTCGATTACTTATCGATATTTACTTTCGTCCACTCCTAGTATATATCCTCTTTAAGGTTTGGCAAATGGAAAGCACTTAAACCTCCCTGAACATTATACAGTCCTGATCTGCCCAAAAAAAGGTATTCTCAGCTTCGTTTTGGTTTCCCTTCCTTTCCGCGGGTATTTTTTTGTATTCGTTGTTTTACGCGCCTCGTCGGCTTCATTTCCGCCTGAAAAGGAGGGGATTTTTGTTTTAGACAGAGGGGTTAAGGCAAAGTTAGGGGTCCAAAGGGAAAACTTCGAGTGGGTGGTAAAGGGAGCGAGTAAAATACGGAGTGTGGGCTACATTGTCATTCAGCTTTTGCGGTTGCTTATTCGGTTGTTAAATCGTTTTTATGACGTATTCTTCTTCGCCGCCGAAAATGTGTTCTGTGCTCTGCGGTTAACTTTTCTCCAGTCCCGCCCTCTTCTGTTGATTTTCCACGATTTTCCATCGCCACCTCACCTCGCCCCGTGCGAATCGCTGGCATTACTCAACCGTCTGTGTTAAGCTCTCGAGTGTTTGGGTAATTTCACAGATTTATGCAACTTTTTGGCGGCAAAAAGGGAAGGAAACGTAAAGGTGGAAGGATGTTCAATGCGGATTTACCTCATTCCCATTCCCCTGACTTTTTGCCAATTAACTGTGAAAAGGTGAGCTGGTATTACCCGCGTTAACCTTAAATACTTCTTTTTAAATGTTGTTTTAATGAGTCGATAAAGTTTGTCCTTCGATTTTGAAACTTTATTAAATACTTTATTTATTTTCAATTTCTTTCTTCAAAGCTTCTTTATTTTATTGCAAAATTAATCAGTTATTAAAACAGAAGTATGTAATTTTTTTGGGAAATTAAAAAGAACAATTAATTGCATAAGACTTCGGAATGTATTATTCCTCAAAATAATAATATTTCTGATAAATAACAACAATGTGAATTATTTATTTGAATTGTGCAACAAAATAAAAAAAATGTATATAAAAGAAATTGCAGAAAATAAGTATAAGTAAATTATTTTTATTTATATCATTTTTTAAATTTATATCAGTAAAATATTTCTATAGTATTAAATCCAAAAAATAATTTTTATTTCCACCAAATATATATATTTATTATAAGTATATTTCAATATTATAAACTCTTTCATTTCTTACTATTTAAAATATTCTGATCTTTCTGATAATAATACTTTTATATTTGAAAATGCCGCCCATAGTGTTGCACTTATAGCTATTTCTAGCTATTTTACAAGTAAAATGTATAAATTCTTTAATGCGACTACGCTAGCGCCTCCTATAAATCTACATACAATATACAAACTACATTTGACGTAAAATTACGGAAGCAGCCTTTGGATTTTGTTAAAATTTGAAATTTCCGTTAAAACCAAAAAAAGCAAACATTTTTGTAACAAGTTTTGTAACCAAGGGTTACTTTTATATATTTTTATTCACTTCTTGAAATAAGCCTTGCCATGGCAATAATAATATCAGAAAACTCAAGCGCTAAGTAAATGGGGTAATCGATATTTGTGAAAAGATAAAGACAGGCAAACATAGGTAAGCACTTTAACGCTCTCACTCTGTCTCTTTTTACGCTCTCTTTTGTGAAGCTATTCACTCTCTCAGCCACTCTCTTTTTGGTACGCGTCACAGGTAAAAATTCAAACGGTGCTTTTGTAACGTATTTTTCGACCCGATCTCCCGCTCCCGTGTCGCAACAAGTGCACGCGAGCAAGCAAGACGACTGCTATGCCGTTTAAAGTGCAAAAGAGACCACCATAGAGCCTCGATCGTTGTGTTTATGGTGCTGAGCGTGGCCCGAAAGAGTCGCGGCGTCATTTGCGCGCCGCGTTTACCTGTCCACAGACGTGTTTACCTGACGACGTGTTTTCCTCCCCCGTATCTCTTCGCTCGCTCAACGCTCGTGTGTGCCTGTATAGTGAGAGTGCGTCTCTGTCTTTGTGTGTGTGTGTGTGTGTGTGTGCATATTCAATTAATTACAAAAAGGCACAAGAGGAAGCCGAAGAAGAAGCGGCAACAGCAGCAGCAAGTGAATTGAATGAAAGAAAGCCAGTTAAAAAGTATGCAAAAAAGTTTCGTGATACAAAAGGAGTGAAGAAGGCGGCGGCATAAATGGTGATTAATTCACTTTAAGTTGCAATTAAACAGCAGCAGCAAAAGCAGCAGCAACAACAACGAGCCAGCGCAAGGTGCAAGACAAGGTGAGGCGAACTTGAAGTTTTTCTTTGCTCGTCTTCTTTCTTTTTTTTTTTTTTGGCTGAAAAAGAAAAAAATTATCCAACAGCGAAAAGTGTATGTGTGTGTGTGTGTGCCTTGAGTGTGTATAGGTGTGTGTGTGGCATTTCAAAATTGCACTTGAAAAAAGAGAAAGAAAGAGGAATCGCAGATAATGACAATGAGCGGTGGAAGATAGGTAGAGAAGGAGGAGGAGAAGAAGAAGTGGCTAGAACACGGTGGAAAAATCAGTACAAAACGGTACAAACGTGATTCTGTTTTTTTTTGTTCCAAGGCACTTTTCTACTCTGGGAATTTTCCTAAAAGGGGGAATAACCGGGCGGGCACCGGGGGGCGGTGCGGAATAATGGCCTCCAATTTGCCACCCGACGATGATGCTGCAACTGTACACACACACACACACACACTCTCAGATCCGAGCCACCGAACCAAAGCGATCTGATCCATTCCATTGGCGACATTTTTTACTCGTTTTTCTCGATTTTTATTTTTGTTATTTATATTTTTTTTGGCCTGCATCAACTGAAGCGTGGTCGAGATTGGTTACAAAAAAAAAAAATAAATAAAAATAAATACAGCAAAAATATAAATGGAAAACATGGCTTACAACAGCATCCGATACTTGAAATACTCTTATTTGTAGAGGAAAACTAGCTTGGGAGATCTTTTTAATAAGGTTTTTACACGGTTAGATTTTGTTTACCTTAAAAAATAAATAAGAAAAGATTTGTAAAGTCCCAAGAACATTTTTAATTAATTTTTAAAGGTACCAAGAATTTATTTCAAGGCCATTTTTACTTACTTTTTAACAACAATCTTGTGAATGAGAACAAACATTATTTAATTTTCTATGTCGAGTTTCCTTTGAATTCCGTTAAAAATAATTTAAATGTTATTGCTGTAGGTTTTTAATTATTTTAAATAAATATTCAGAGTTTTAAATATTTAGATTGTGATATTTCTGGCATTCATTCTCTTATGATAAACAAACAACTTGTAAAAGGAAACAAACTTGGTAAATATTTTTAGCAAAGGTATTTGCCAAGTTTTTCTAAGAAAAGTTTATAAATATAATCATTTCTTTAGGAAGAAATTAAACTTACATTAATAAAATGCCTGCTTTTATTCAGCGGAAATAATTAATCTTTATTAACTTAAATTTGATCAGTGCAAATTCAAGTTCCATTTTGTATCTGTCATGAATTATATTCAGAGTTGAAATAATCTAAAATTATCTTACTAAAATGTGAACTATATACACTTGTATTTTCTTTACTAAGAAATTAATTACTTTCCGTTGAAGATAAGGTTCTAATAAGGAAATATAACTTAGATTACTTTTCTATAATTACTATGAATTGCAGGATGTACTTATCAATAAAAACATTAAAGTAGCACGACTAATTAGGCCTTGATTATTCTACAAGACCACATATTATATTATAATTATTATAGAGTATTTTCTAGCTTAAACCTGTACCATTTAGGACCTTAATTGAAGAGTAAAGATTATAAAATGTATATATTCAAAGCCTAAGGCTTTTTCATTACCAACTTCTGGACCAAAAATTACAATACCCCATCTCTAAGCGAGGGTATTAAAAAAACGCAAATCTGGCGCAATTGAGCGCGAATGGCAAACCAGAAAAACAAGGCAACAACAAGAGAAGCCAAGCGCTTAGATTGCCGGCCTCAAGTTACGACGATACGATTCCAATTCCAATTCCAGCCAGCAGCAAACACACAGAGCACAGCTTGGCTTTCGATCGCCCAGCTCAGCTCAGCTCAGTTATAGTCGTCGTCCTCACGATCATGATCATGATGTTGCGGCGATCGTTATTATGCTCTTTTCACTGAATGAGCCACATTCCGGTTTAGCATTTTTCAGTCAAGCCAAAAGCCAAAAGCAAAACCATTCCATACCAATCCATACAATCCACAAAAGCATCCCCAAAAACCCACACAAATATCTTGTGAACTGTATACACACTCGCACGCACACACTCCCTGGCTCTCGGAGTCAGAGCCAGGCCCATTCTCAGGCCCCAAGTCCATTTCCAATTGAAAAGCCAAGTCAACAGTCCCCGCACCCAGAGAGACCCTCTGTTTCGATCGCTTTTAAACGTGTTCCCCCTGTACTAAAGACAACTAAAAAAGAAAAACACAGACATATACACACGCAGAAAAATAAACTACAGTCGAGCTTCTATAGCTGGGAACTATAATATGTAGCATGAGTCACTACAAGAAATTATGTTTGGTTTCCCAGGGGAAGTTCTGGTTTATAAGTTCAGTTTTCTAAGTAAGTCAGTCACAAGGGGTGTTATTATGGGAATCAGGAAGCTAACTAGTATTTTTCATATTACAAAGACCGGTCAAAAGTGATCATCGAGGGCGGGTATTTGTTAATAACTATTTGCACAAAACTAGTTGGGGAAAAACTAGAGCTATAAATGTTCCACTTAGAACTTAATGTGGAAACTCAACTCAACTAAAATTGTAATATATTTTTTAGATTATTTCAAAAGAAATTTGTTAAATATGATTAGAAAGAATTATAATTTGGTAGTGTTATTAATTTACTATGTAGTTAATTACACTAAAAAATCGAATTTTAAATGTGGGACTATATTAGGATCCATATAAAATATTATTAATAATTTCGATAATTGATTTTAAAAAGGTTTTTCATTTCTGGTCTGTAGTTTATCATTAAATATTCATAAAAAATGTCAAACTTTGTGAATTTCATAAATGTATTTAAAAATATAGAACAACCATCGACCCTTATCTGCATAGAAATATTAAATATCAAATGTCTTGATGATGTTATTTTTGGTAGTGAAGAGGACTGTTGGTGTAATCAAAAGAAGTGCTTGTAAACAGAATTAAAAGTTAATGCCAAACAAATTAAATTTACAAAAGTCAAACAATAAGCAGTAATCATTGCGAAAAACGTGAGAACAATTACCTGGCTGCTTGTTTTCTGATAAAGATTTATGTGACTTACATCAGGAAGTTAGATCTTAGGTAGAAAAAATTCTTATATCTTTAGTATATTTTTTATTAACCAAATAAAGTTTCACTTAATAAATAAAATACCTTTAAAAGCAGCCATTTCTTTCGGTGCAGCAACAAAAGATCGTTGTAAAAAAGCAACATAGCCAGTTTTTTTCTGCTGTAGTTTCAAGCCATGTTTTTTGTTGTTGCTGTAACTGCTGCATTCCAACGATCGTTGTTGATTTTTCCCCCTGGTGTTGTTGTTGTTGTTGTTCCCTTGGCAACCAGGAATGCCAGCCCCTGAACCCGTCTCTTTCGCTCGCTAAGCAGCCCTCTCTTTTACTCGTTCTGTGTGGAGAGTTTTTGAATTTTTCTTCTTAATGTTTCTTTTTTTTTTTTTTTTTTGAAATTCCAAACGCAACGAAAACGAAAAGTGTGAAAAGTGAAGCTCGATTCAGACAAACAACGAACTTTGTGCCCCTCCTATATTGCCATCTTTTTTACTCTTTCTCTACCCATCTCGCTCGCTTAACGCTTTCTCCCTCGCACCCTGCACTCCTCTGAAAAAAATGTCAGAGTTTGGGTTTTTGAACCTGCACGTTTTTTACGTGTAATGTGAGGTCAGTAACACTTTTGTTTCAAACATTTATCACGCTCCGCTTTGGCCGAGTGCGTGTACCGCTTATGACGTCAAAGAGCGCTGCCAGGCGTTTAATGAACTCGACTCGATGATTGACAAGCCATTTAACGCCACATATTGTTCGGAGGCTCATTCACTGATAAATGGCTTTTTGGCCAACTTTGCCGGGCCTGATGACTGCCTTTTTGGGTTGGGAATATGTTTTTGTGGCAGGCTTTTACATGTGTAGTTTTGGTGGAAGTCCTTGCCCTAGGATAGGCTTTAATTTAACTAAAAAATTAAGAGGATATTTTAAAAATAGAAATCATGTTTATAATAAAACGGGAAATATGGAGATATGCAATAAATTTAAAGTGGATTGTTTAACCTATAGCAAGGTATTAAAATTCTAGTCGGAAGCCTCAAACGCAGTGAAGCAATTATTTCCGACCCCATAAATCATATACATATATATTCTTAATCAACATTACAAGCTGAATCGATCTAGCCGTGTTTTGGAAGACATTTTTTTTTAATTTTTTCAACATTTTATAAGGCGTTACATCGTCAAAATTGCCAAAAGTGTATAAAAATTTTAATTATATATAATATATAAACTTCGGCGTGCCGAAATTAACTTCCTTTCGTGTTTTTTTTTACTTTTTATCTAATTTAGTTTAAAGCTAAATATTATTATAATAGAATTTCGTTTTTATTTTTATGAAAATCGGATTAGAAACGGTTGTTAAATGCAGAGGATCAGTAAGCATCTGTCAACAGTAAGTTCCTATGAACATTAAGTAACTATGATTAGTAAATATCTATGATCACTAAGAATCTATGACCAATACATATGTATGATCTGTTACTAACTTCAAACACTAATAAACATATATATATTTATATTGTATTAATTACTAGTGATCGAATTTTTTTTTATGATGAACTGAAATTTGTAAATGTCCGTCGTTGTTTTTGTTGGTACTTACACTCTCTTTGCAGGCTTGGTGGAGTACCATCTATTTTGCGGGAATGTTGTTTAGTAGGAATTGTCGTACAAAACTTTGATTTAACACAGATTTTATAAAAGCCAAAGGTTTGATTTAAACTCAAATTTAATTAGAAACTTTAAACTGAACAAGAAGAAGAACAAAAATAATTGTGTTTGCTACGGTGCTTAAGTACACCGGTTGAGAATCGCAGAGGAGGGCACTTTTTTGAGAGACAGTGAATGCGAGGAAAGTATTATTTTTAAGAGAGAGAGTAAAAGAGAGGCAAACACAATTTTGTTTTTTGAGAAGCGTAGGGAAGGTCTCATTGTTTATTTTTGAAGAATGAGAATTTGAGTTAGTAAACAAATGTGATAAGTCCTTTAAATTGATCAAAAATATAAAATATTTAAACTCAAATTTAATTAAAAACTTTAAACTGAACAAGAAGAAGAACAAAAATAATTGCGTTTGCTACGGTGCTTAAGTACACCGGTTGAGAATCGCGGAGGAGGGCACTTTTTTGAGAGAGAGTGAAAGCGAGGAAAGTATTATTTTTGAGAGAGAGAGAGTTAAAGAGAGGCAAACACAATTTGTTTTTTTGAGAAGCGTAGGAAGGTCTCATTGTTTATTTTTGAAGAATGAGAATTTGAGTTAGTAAACAAATGTGATAAGTCCTTTAAATTGATCAAAAATATAAAATATTTAAACTCAAATTTAATTAAAAACTTTAAACTGAACAAGAAGAAGAACAAAATAATTGCGTTTGCTACGGTGCTTAAGTACACCGGTTGAGAATCGCGGAGGAGGGCACTTTTTTGAGAGACAGTGAATGCGAGGAAAGTTTTATTTTTAAGAGAGAGAGTAAAAGAGAGGCAAACACAATTTGGTTTTTTGAGAAGCGTAGGAAGGTCTCATTGTCTCATTGAAAATATAAAATGTAAAATTGAAGAAATATCATTAAAGTAGTCAATCAATACTGTAGAATTTACATTTAAATTGTAAGTAAAAATCATTGAATACATCCATAAAATTGAACAAATTCAGCGTTATATCTTAAATATATAAGAGGTTTTATAAAAGCCTTTCCCAAAACATTTAAAACGCTCCTGATCTCCACAGAAATCTTCAATTTAATATTAAAATTATTTTAAAATATTTTCATATAAAGTTATATTTATAGTTTACCCTTCTTTTCTATCAAATTTTTTAACCTGGTTGGTAGCAGACATATCAGAAATGGATGGAACATTGCACTTCCCTGAAACTTGAATAACCCTCTCCACAGGCCGTTGAGTAAATCCTTCCTGGAAACTGAAAACCCATTACTCTGACGTTCCGACGGGGCGTGGCATGTCCGCCCACAATTTTTAGAGTTTCAAAAACTGGCTGCTGGTGCTGCCTGTGTGTGTGATGTTGACAAACCTATTTTCTAATTTGTTTTGCATTTCACCGAGGCAGTTTGTGTGTAGTTTGGGGGGAAACTAGTTTTTCCTCCCCCCTCCCAACCAAACGAAGCGTGCGAGATTTTATTTAACGCGCCTGGCCAAAGCTGGGATGCGGGATACGAGAGGCTTTCAAAAAAGCAAGCTGCGTGTTTACAGATATTTTTGCGACGAAATGAAATGGGCACGGCCCACAACTAGTTGCTTCAAAGCACACACACAGTTGGCACACACAACACACAACACACACGTGCAGGCAGCCGCCGCCGCGCCCAGTTACAGCCCAAGCTCCATTGTCCACGCGCGCTTTTCACAAATATAAAACAAAAAAATAAAAAGGGGAACAACATTTGCGTTTGTTTGTTTGCTTTTGCTTTTTTCAAGTGAGTTGCCAACTTTCATCAGGAGGGAGGGAGGGGGGATGGGGGAGCAAGGTTTGGGCCTTGGTAGGTGGGATTTACAGATGGCAGGGTAATGGTAGGTCATGCATACATGTGTAAGTACAATCATTACGCGGGACTCCTTTTTAGATAATACAGTCGGGACTCTCTGAGGGGAAACAGGAGCAGAGGTACATTATAACATTAGATATACCATTTAAAGTCGGTAAAATCTTGAGTATTTTATTTAGAAAATTATATTAAATGTCTTCAGGCTTAGAATAAGATCAGAACTATGTTTATTTGTATTTTTATTTTATTTTACATCACATTTTATATAGAAGAACAATTTTTAAGATCTTACAATTTTTGATATTGTATTTATTAGTTTGTTAAGAACACTTAAAGTTTTATTTACTAAAATTACTGATTCCAAGTTCAAGGTTTGACTATAAACTTTTTTATATATTTTTATTTATATATTATTTATATATTATTATATATTATTATTAGTACCCGCATTGTTGATAAAAAAAAGTTTATTAAAGGTAGAATAATAATCTTAATATTTTATCTTTAATAAACCTTTTGGCTCAACAATGCGAGTACTAAAATATAGTCCTAATTTGGTTTTAAAAAGAATACAATAACAAAAAAATACATACATAATTTAACCAAGAGCTCTTTAAAATATATTACTTTAAATAAAAATACAATAATTACCTAGTAATATATAATATAACGAAATAAATATAATAACCTTGTTTCATTTATATTGATTTCCCTAATTATAAAAAACCCAATCAAGACATGAAAATTACGATTTTTTCCAGTGTTCAAACTCTGGTAAAACTTTGACATTTAAAAGTAATTTCACAGTGGCTTTAAACATTTTTTTAGTCGAGTTTTTAAAGAAATAAGAGTTAGGGAAAAGTTCAAAGTTCAAAGCCAAAATGGACAAACTTGCATGCAAGTGTGTTTATTTGCAATTTCTTTTGACTTTTCAGGAAAATTCGACTTAGGCAAGTTGGACTACATATATGTATGTATGTATCTTTAAGTGTGTAAGTGTGTGTGTGCGGATGGATGCTCCCGTTTTTTTGTGACTTCCCTTTCCTTTTCAAAAAAGGGGGATTTCCCCATGCTGTAACCGCCTGTTTGTCATGCAGGCAACCCACTTACACTCTGTGTGTGTGTGTGTGTGTGTGAGTGTGTGTGTTGGGGCAACCGTTTGGTTTTTATGTCTTTTGTGAAATTTTATTTAATTTTTGAATCTCTTCTCTTTTTTCTCGTGAAAAGTTTAATATTTGTTTTTCATGCTTGCGATTTGCATAATTTGCACAAACACACACACACACACACATGCGAGGCAAAGACGCACACATATACATACAGTCTCATGACCTCCATTTGTGACTAGCAATACCTGCAGGGTCCTGCGAGGGGGAGGGAGAGGGAGGAGGATGAGCCAGGATGTCGCTGCTCTCTGCTCGCATGCGATATATTTTATGAATGCAAATCCCTGTTCATTCGGATTTGGTTTACTTACTTGGTTTATTTTTTTCCTTCGTCCTTACCCGCTCTCTTTCACTTTCACTTTTCCTTTCCTTGCTTTTCCCTTCCCCCGCTCTTTCCCGTGCCGGAGCTTATTGCAGTTTCATGTGCACATGTGTGTGGGCGAATCTCACCTTAGTTCCGTTTTTTATCCATTCACATCGCATTTTCATTCATGCGATCTCTGGGCGAAAAATCTCGCGAAATGGAGCGAGGGGATTTCCTTGGATAATACCCTGCATAATATTGAATATTGAGTATTTTGGGTAGCATTGATCCTTAATGACAACACTCTTTAATGTTAAATAAAGTCCTAGAAAGGTGTAGTAACTATGTGTTATATATATGCATATTTTTATTATTTATATACTTGAAACATTGTTGTATTTATTTTATCACAGATAATTTAGAGTTTTCTAAGAAAATATTTAAAATGAATGATTCATTCATAATTTTAGAAACTGTAGAAGAAACCATATTTTTAATAGCTTAATATGCTCCTCAAATGTTCACTTTGAACTATCTTAGCTTTGACTAAGAAAAGTTCTTATTTTTTTAAATATTTTTCATAGATAAAAGGCTAAAATTAAAATTTTTATTAGTTTTCATAGTTAAATTTGTTGAATAGTTCATTAAATAGAGGCTTAGCTTGAAAGTTGTTGTCAAAAACAAGCAACAGACTAGTACATAAATCTTCTTCATAAGGAAGTATCCTCTCAGTATTTATTTTTCGGAAACCACTTTGCAGCTAAACCCCAATTAATGATTAATTAATAATTTTTATTTTTTATTTATTATTTTTTAATTACTTAATTATTATTGTAAACCTTAACCAGCATACCTTTAACTACCCTTTTTCCTGTGGTTCAAAAACGGCAACTGAACTGAACTGAATATTTATTATTATTATGTCTTTGGCCTGCATGTGTGCTACCTGGGTCCACCCACAGCTTACAACCCACACATACACACAGTACACACACCTTACACACACCTACTACTCACCTTCCCCCCATTCCCCCTTCCCCTTTGCCCTAATTCCTTCCGAAAATTGTTCGCCTTTGGTTTTGGTGCGCTTTTTTGTTCGCTTCCTGGGCTTTATTTATTTTTATTGTGTGGCGCGGCTTAAATGCGCTTTGCAGATATTTTATGCCTGCCAACTGCCTTTTCCAAAGATCAGGTGAGTGAGGAGAGGGGGGGGGGATGCTGCAAAGAGAGGGGGGTGGGGTGGCTTTGGACCAAATATGTTTATTTGACACACATCGCAGGCGGAAAAAGCGATTCTCCGCATGCAAATCTTTCCTTCGCAACGACGGCTTCCTTTATTGTTTGCATATAGAATCAAAGTTTTTTTTTTTTTTTTTTGTTGCTGGATTATCCAGCGACACGGCTAACACACACACATACACATATAGAGTTTGGCTTTATGCCACGCCCCTCTTTTGTAGAATTTCAAAGGGGGAGGAGGGATAAATATTTGCCTCGCGGGAGGGGAATTCAGTTTTGCCCTGACAAAGCAATTTAGTTATTTTGCCGCAATTGAGTTTTGTGCTCAATGCGGTTCCCCTTTTTTCCCACTTTTTATTATTTTACACCATTTTCTGGTTTAACCTTTTCATTTATGGAATTTGTGTTTGTGTTTGCAGTTTTTGTCAAACAGAAATGGAATGTTTTTAGAGAGCCTCGATTTAAAGGCAAACCGTACATTTAAATGAAAGAAACAAGTTATTTAAC